ACTAGTGAAATTAAATCCAGGATTGCCATGGCAAAAGCTGCATTTAGCAAGAAGAAGAATCTTTTTACCAGCAAATTGGACTTAACTTTGAGGAAGAAACTAGTGAAATACTACATTTGGAGCATAGCTCTGTATGGGGCTGAAACATGGACATTTAGGGCAGCAGATCAGAAACATCTGGAAAGTTTTGAAATGTGGTGTTGGAGAAGGATGGAGAAGATCAGTTGGACTGATTATGTGAGAAATGTAGAAGTGTTAATTAGAGTCAGTGATCAGAGGAATATCCTACACGAAATAAGAAAATGGAAGGCTAATTGGATCGGTCATATTTTACGCAGAAACTGCCTTCTAAAAGAAGTTATTGAAGGAAAGATAGAGGGGTGGATAGAAGTGACAAGAAGACGTAAGAAGATGCTGGATGACCTTGGGGACAGAAGAGGATACTGTCATTTGAAGGAGAAAGCTCAAGATCAGATTAAGTGGAGGAATTGTTTTGGAAGAGACTGTGGACCTATCGTCTGACAGATTACTGATGATGATGATGATGATGAAGAGAGACATTCGTGGACATCGGTTTGCATCGGATGAAGACGTGTGTGGCTGGGTAAAGATGTGGTCCTGTAGACAGCCCACAAGTTTTTTCAAGGATGGGATTAACTGTCTTACCTCCCAGTGGAATAAATGTATTAACACTGTTGGAGATTACTTTTGAGGTAAGAAATGATCTTTAGTATGTTTTGTCTTCTGACCCGTTTTCATTTGACTGCCCCTCATACAAAGTATTACTGAGTATGTGCTTTGTATGAGGTGATCACAAAAGCCCATCAACACCTGGTGCTTTGGATTTGTTAGGCCTTGGCAACAATAATTAATAACTGTTATAAGACTGGCCCAAAGCAAGGCTTGAGTAAACAGCAGTGGTACAAAATAAATTGTTGACTGTTATAGCAAGCAAAGCAAGATGCAGCATCGAGGCTATCAATGGGAGAACTGGAATCTTTGGTGGCAGAGAAAGACGAGATAATACGAGAGCTGAGAGAAGAAGGAGAGAAGTTGTCCAGACAGCAGCTACAGCACTCCAACATCATCAAAAAGCTGCGGGCAAAGGAGAAGGAGACCGATAATATAATGAAGAACCAGAAGTACGTTCCTTCTGTCTCATTGTTAAGACTAAACTAAATTATGAAATATTGTACATTATCCGTCATCAAAATGACTTTGTTAATAAATTGGTTCTATTTCAATCTCCTTGAACAGGGTATAAAAGAAATTATACTTTCTTGGGCCTTTAGTAGAGTTACCGTGGCCCATGGTTTGAGAAAACTTCTACCAAGGGGCCCAGCAGAGCAGGTTTTCTTTTATATCCTGTTCAGTTGAAGTTGGAACTAATATATGAAACACAGCGAAGTTTGGACGTGGACAGAGTCCACAGTGATACGTTCTTACAATATATATGGGGGAACACAGTAGTGTAGTTGGTGGAGGCACTATGCTACAAGCCAGAAGGTCACAGATTCAATGTCCAATGACGTCATTGCTTTTTTCAATTGCCTTAATCCCTCCATCCACACTATGGCCCTTGGGTTGACTCAGCCTCTAACAGAAATGAATACCAGGAATCTTCCTGGGGGGTAAAGGGCGGCCGGCACGTAAGGCTGATAACCTTACTGCCATCTGTGAGCCGATTGTCTAGAAAATGTGGGAGCCTCGACATCCTACAACCCTATGGGCCTCCACAGCCTGTTACAGGGATACCTTTATTTTACCTTTTTTACCTTTGTCCATATTGTATGTAGTTAACTTTCTATCATGTTGCTTTTAATTGTAAGTATTTATGCCACACATCATAAAAACTTCAAATATATCACAGTGGATGACAAAATATTATTGACCGTCTCTGTGGTACAGGTGTTTTGCTGACCATATTATTAACACTTCACGGACCGGCGATTTAAATATTTAAATCACCCTGAGGACCGGCATTTTTAAACATGCTACTCTAACTTGTGCACTGTTCACTTTAAAAATTAATATAAAATCTCCTAATTAATTTTTTGAATTAAAATTTTTGGAGAACACTTACCAGTGCTCCTAGAAGTGCTTGAGGGTGTTTTCTTGAAGAATTCCACTGTGTGAAGTGGCATTACACAGAACTTGCAAATGTAGACATACTCCTTTTTTGTGAACTGTGCAAACATGGCATTGCCTACAAGGATTCTTCCCCTTGGAATGTTCACTCTTCACTGTTTTCACGAGGGTATTTTTCCGCATATCACTCGAGAGTCACCCTGGGGAGGTCCACATGAGGCCTTCGTGGGGTGGGAGTTGATGGGCCTGGTTGTACTAAGTCTTTGTTTGACCCTGGTTCTGCCACCACCATCTGGACTGTAGCCTAGGCCTTTGCCACATTCATCAGAAATGTTTTGTATTTCAATTTTGAATCAGGGTTTAGTTTCTTTTTAGATTTTTTGCTGTCCCCGCAATGTTACTACGCGCATTGTTATTACCCACATTATTGTTGGAGCTACTGTCACTTTTACTGTCTGTGGCCACGATTCTCCGTTGTCCCCCCGTCACTGTCGCTGTCCGAATGACAATCCATTACTATGCTTCTCACAAGGCAGGTCAGCTAGGTCATCGGAGGAGAATTTGTCCTTGATCCATTCTCCCCACTAGCTACTGGCTGATACACACAGCTTGAAGAAGGCAAAGCATTTTCCTTTATAGTCGGTTAAGTAAACAGCAAGGTCAAGTTACTGACTGCTAACTAAACATTCCAGAGTCTTATCACGCATCTGCAGGTGGTTGCGTGCAATGTAGATGGCGCCAGAGTGATGTATAGTGTGTTGCAACTTATCGTATTCTAAAAATGTATTAATACGCGACCGGTCCACCACGTTTAAAAGCGAAAAACGTATTAATGCATGGATGGTCTGCCAAGTGTTAATTATTCAGGTGGTTAAGAAATTCCTTGGTTTTGTAGAACCAAAAGGTTCATTTCAAAAACCTGCCATTAAACACTACCCTGAGCTAGTTGAACAAAGTGACTCGCTGCACATCATATTTATCCATGATCCATTTAATATTGTCATGTGTTAAGTGACTTAGAGATGAGGTTTGGATTGGTAAGTAGATTTAGTGGTCTCTTATAACGGTATCTACAGGTAATAATAATGCTGTCGCTAATTCACATACTAGACTTCTCACTACAGCACACAATAAGTCTTTTGAGTCTGCTATCTCTTCACCAGTTCTTGCCAGTAATGGCTACCAATGACATAGATTCCTCACAATCCATGTTCCACAGCTCCTGTGGTGCTTGGCTCACAACTCAACTCTCATGGCTGCAATTCCTGGTCACTGACTCCTAGCTTTGTGTGGCCTCCTCTGGCTAGCACTCACTTCTGCCTCGTCTGCGGACTGCAAACTGCTCCCTATTCAACTGACTGTTCATCAATCAGTTAAATTTGCTGCTGGCCTTCACCAACACAGTCATTCCTGGCTTAGTCTCCTCTAGATCCATGCCCAAGATTTTTACTGTGTCCTAGACAGGTACGTGTTTCAAAATGGGGCCTCCTCTTTGACAAGGGAGGGGTCGGTGTTTCTATATAGGCGCTACATTTGTTGTAACCTAGTTTCAGCACAAGTATATCCATGCTGTCATGGCATCCAGGTCACTATGGACTCTGTGCACCCCTTGTCACTACACTATGCTAAGCAACATTTCTAAGAGATATACAGAGGTTTCCTGTCAATGCGGGCTTGTTCAGCAGGTTATGCCTTAACTGATGTAACTACTCTGAAACTGCAGTTAGTCAGCTGAATGGTCATAGGCCTGACTGCCACCAAGTTTAAGCCTATGCCTGGCTTCTCATGAGCCCTCATGTTACAATACTGTCGCGTATCGGGCTTATATCGCGACAAATAAGTTCACGATGTATTTTATATAGTGAACTTTATTTCACATCCGCTCTCACAATCACTCAATATTGCAATCTGACGATTACTGCTATCTGCAGTATCACAAATATTACACTCCAAATGCCAGAATACAACTGACTGGCTGACTCTACGTCTCGACTCGGCGATATCCACGGTATAACTGTTGCCGTACAACTCTGAACTGTCTTCGACGGCTGTGGAGTCCACTTATATAGCCTTTCGCTGTTGCTAGTGTGACGTGGCGTATAGCCCAGGACGCTGTTGCTAGTGTGACGCCACCGCTGTTGATTAGCATTGCATAGTTACCAGGTTACGGGGGCTCGGCTATCTTCGGCTCCGCTCGGCTCTCTTCGGCTCCGCTCGTGACGTCACCGCGCGTGACGTCACCGCTGTTGATTAGCATTGCGGGGTGATTACTCACCTATTACGCGATCGCTAAGTTACCGCTACGTGGAGCTGGGACAGTAGGGATCAACATGTCACAATACTATGCTCCCATGATGAAACATTACATTTGACATGTTTAATTTTTTCTTCAGTTTGGCAGTTGTGTCTTCCATTGAAATAATAGACAGTAACATTAAAACAATGTTGCAGGGAGCAGCTGGATGTATTGAGTGAAGAGGTGGAGCGACTAAAACGTTCACTTGCTGCCAAAGACGAGGTAGAAAGGACACAAATTGAAGCCGTTCATCAGCTGACAGCCCGCACAAAACGCCAGGAGAAGGAACTTTTGAGCCTGCATGGAGAGCTAGATGATGTTAACCACAAACTGGAAACTACCAGGGAATCACTTGAACTAACTAAAAGGTGAACTGTGTTTATGTACCGTATTTACGCATGTATAGGCCACACATTTTTTGCCAAAAATTCAAGAGGAAAACTGGGGTGCGGCTTATATTCGAAATATTCGAAATCACACTTCATTTAAAAAAAATTATATTCATAATTAGTAATACAGGGTGTAATACTCCTGAAATAATATTCCAAGAAAGTTATTTTTTCTATAATTTCTGTCTGAAAATTGTGCTGCGGCCTATACATGCACGCGGCCTATACATGCGTAAATACGGTATTTCATGATGACAGTATTCTTATACAGGGTGATTCACAAAGTTTTACCTCGGCTTATGGTATATATTCCTGGGGTTATTTCCTGCAAAATTTCCTTATAAACTTGTGGTCAATTTTCAATAGTTACAGAGTAACAGTAGATTTTCGAAATGCATCATTGTGAATGCAGCGCTATGCTTCAGCGTGGGCGACCATACGTTCTAGTCAGCTGTGTCAGCAGATAAGGTAGACCGGTTTGAATGTTGCGCGTAGGTAGATAGGCAGAGCGGTTCATATGTGTGCGATGCATTGTGTTGACGTGCAGGGAGAAATTTTTGAAAATCTTACGTAAATCCAATCGTCTTCTAAAGCACTACAGTTTAAAGGAAACAGATTGATAGAAGGGTGTGATATGCAACCATTTGTATGTTTACAGAATGGGATGCTGAAAATAATGTAATTTTGTAACATAAAATTGATGAAAAATGTTCCACAGTGCAAAATTAAGAAATTGAAAAAAAAATTGGTTTTAGAATGCTTCTTTCCTATAATATTAACGATTTAAGAAGTGTTTGTATTATATTTCTAATTTGTTTTGACTGAAATTTGAAGGAAAAAAGATTTTTCGCCAGTTTTCAAATTACTGTATCTCTTTAATTATGAGTTGGATACCATTAGTATATTAAAATTTTTTGTTCCAAATTACCTCAGGAATGCCCTCCCTAAGTGGGGGTAAAACTTTGTGAATCACCCTGTATACACGTATGAGTGACTGCATATGTTATATAGCATCAGATGAAAATAATGAATTGGGAAAGATGTGGAGGTAAGCAGTTATAGTGTATTTGAAGTCTATCCCAATATTGTCCTGTAGAGGAACTGCAAAAGGCTCAGGATAATTACACTTGAGGCTGAGAATCAAAATCAGTACTGCATAGAAAAAGTGAAGTCATCTAGTTGTGAGTGACAAATGAAAAATTTTGGTGGATTACGAATTTTCCTCTCAAATTTTAGAAATTGGTTTCTTGGAGATCTGGCAGCTTGATACTCATGCTTCATGTATAGAGGAAATAGCAAACTACATCTAATGAAATCAACTTCAGTGTAATTAGTATGTTTTATAAGTTTGTTTCTTTTGATATTATCGTATACCTCGTGTGTATGTAGGGAAAATAGTACAGCAAGAAGAAATTAATCTTTCATGCCAGTTGGAGGTGAGAACTACAGCAGGGCACCAGAAAATACTCGTCCACCTTTATCTGATGACCAGAATATTTGCCTGACTATGTGGTTGTCAAAAATGTTTTATCCCCTGCCCAGGACCTGTTGATGACAAAAAGCAATTACTCAGCTGCCTTGTTTAGATTTGCTCTGTGCATATGGACTCAGTAGCCTATGTGCTTTTGGCATATGAATTATATTTGAAGAAAGTGACCTATTAGGTTGAAGAATTTTTATCGTTTTATCACAGGGAACTGGCTGAGAGCAAGAAGGCGGCTGCTGCTCTCGAAAAGAAACTGAGGGAGGCAACACTGAGTGTGGAGATCTCTGCTAGACAGGAATTAGTGACCGCACTAGAAGAGGCTCAGCAAACCGCACAGGATGAGAAGGAACAATTGTTGGCACAGATTGGAGAACTGAGACTCAAAGTTCGTCAGGCTGAAGAGCAGCACTCGGAGTAAATATTACATTCAGGATATTTGGTGTAATGGTTTTCCAGTTTTTAATTAAACTGTGAGTCATTACACTATAATTATGATAACACTGCCCACCCCCTGAGGCGTATTCAACCTTTATCACATGGGAGTAGAGGATTTATACATATCTGTTATTACTATGACCAGATTGTAACTTTGGGGGTAATGGTATTGATATTGTCACATGATTGAGTGACTGTAGATGGGGTTTGGATCAGTAATTGGATTTATTGAACTCTTACGGAACGTAATTACAAATAGCTATAGCGCTAATGTTAATTCACACATTCTGCAGTTCACTACACCATGTACAAAGTCTTCGAAATCTGCTGTATCTTCACTGGTTGTCACCTGGTAACAGCTTCCAACACCTTACCTTCCTCAGCTTCCGTCTTCGTGTTGTTACAGGCTGGCAACTATCTCACAACTAATGAAACTCTAGACTTGTCTTGCTTATAATACCTCGGCATGGACCACACAGAAAACACCTCTCCCAACAGTTCTTCTATTGTTGGATCACATACCCATCATATGTGCTAGTAATTGCATTTATTGAAATCTTATGACTCATAACTACCGATAATTATAATGCTGTCGCTAATCTAGGACTTGTAGCTACAAATAATTGTAACAGTACTAATCTACATGCTCTATGAATCACCATAGCACGCACTAAATTAGGCAATGGGGATTCCCCTGCTCACAGCTAACCATCAACTACAGTGCCAACTCCCATCTCACAATGGGCTTTTTATTGGGGGGGGGGATAAATTGCTGCTGGCCTTAGTCAGCACAGTCATTCTCAGGTTGGGACTCATGACCGTATTTTGCTGTCTCACAGCTTGCCCTCACAACTGACTTGCCCCATTGGTCCTCATTATATAGCCTCGGCATAAACTGCCTAGAAAACACTGCTTCCCACAGTTCTTCTGTGGTTGTATGTGTATTCATTGCCACAGAGAAGCTTGACTACCGTGCCATTGACTAGCAGTGGCCATCTCATCTGGCTTTGCTATGCCACCTTTCAGGCGTCATGTCATAATATATAGTAATTTTTTTTTTTTAATTTACTGTACTCTTTCCTTCATTTCATTGGTCATCACTATACTGACAGATGTAAAGGTTCATTACAGATGAAGAATGCACTTTAAGACCGTATTTTGAAAAAAGTTAACATTCCCTAAAATATTGTATTACTATCAATGGAAACAGTTAATCATGGGTGTGAGCAAGTCTAAAATCTATTAGATGAAATCTGGAAAAATAAATTCTCTAAATCTTGATCTGCATTTGAATATTGATTCTTCAATATCAGGCTTCAAGAATTGTCAGATAACTGCTTTAGCTTTGCACAGTACTATGCTAACTACCTTGTCCATCAGAATCATAAAGGTTGGCAATGCTGTCACAAATCAACTTGTCACTGTAATCTGTTTTGTTAGTCTTGTCACAGTTCTCAAAATTTCTCCAAATTCTTGTCTCCATCTCGTATTGAACTGAGAAAGTCATTCTTGCACATGTCTAGGGACTCAATTTTCAACTTTGGAGGTGTTCAGTACAAGCTCCAGTGATAATTTTGACATTAAGATGATACAGAACCAAATCCTGAAGTTCCGCAAGGTATACTGTACAACTGATGCAAGGGCTTCACAGAGCCAATATTTAGGAAGATCAGATGGTAAAAGTGTGGCATAGACATGATCTTTACCATAACCCAGAGAATTTCTTGGTCCCTTTTAGTATTAATTCTGCATTGAGGATTCTGTACCTTGAAGTTAACTAAGTAACTAACTGAATGGTGTAAGGTCTTTTCGTGACAAGCTGATACTAAGCTGGTCAAGAAAATTCCTGCTTTTATGGGAACTAAGGCTAATTATGATGTTCATGAGAGTCTGCTATTTGGTCCTGGCCTGAATCAGTTCAGTCCAGTGCACACCCTTGACTCATGGGGTAGACAAGAAATAGGAATAAAGTTGTAGTCCAAAAATTTCAAGGAAAGAGACCACTAAAGACATATGAGCATAGAGGAAGGGATAAGGTTAAAATGGAAATAGGGTGTGAGGTTGTGAGCTGAATTCAGTTGTCAGAATAGGGTCCAGTGGTGGCATTTTGTGAACATGATGAAGAACCTGTGGGCAATTTATTGACAAGTTTAGCATCTTTCAGCTTTTCATGAAAGGCCCCTGCACAGTGGAGTATGTTACACTATTTTAATGGTGATATATTGTGACATGACTCCTGAAAGCCAGAATAGAAGAGCCAGAGCAGAAGTCCATTGCTAGCCAACGATTTGGTAAGCACATTTTCGTGACAACCAACATTTTCCATGGATATGTGCTAGCCTATATAAGAAGCCACGCAGAGAAGAATGAGTCAGTCATTGTAATTCAGTCATAAGGGAGTTCAATGATTCGGTCACAAGGTATTCTTTATTTATCATTTGTTATGATAGAGGAGAAGACACTCGTAGTCCAATGAGGGATGGAGCGAGTCTTAGGTAATTATTGCTTGTGAGTTGTTACAATTGATTGTAATTATAAAGAAGTTCCAATAAATCCAGTCATCAAATCCACAACCCATTATTTTTAGTCACACCATATTTTTGCATTCAGGCGTGAAGCAAACCTCAGACAAGAATGCAATGATCTGTTGCGTCGACTAGAACGAGCAGAGGCACGGAATGAGGAACTGGCACAATCAGCATCAGGAGCAACCCGACCTTTGCTGCGACAATTGGAATCAGTTCAGGCAGCCAACAGTGCTCAACAGGCCTCCTGGGAGAAGCAGGAACGTAACCTTTCAGATGCTTTGAGTAAGTTACAGTAGGTTGTGGGTGAAGGATAGATGGATCTTGAGTAAACTTTTGCATAAATTTTACGAGGAGTGTTCCTTCAGAATCAAGAAGGTCATGAAGATTACTGTCTTCTGGGCTGTCATGTCTTGTAATTTGATGTATACTTGACTAGTGTTTCAGACAACTGTCCTGCCTCCATCTTCAGGCTGCATGGCTTACTTTTCTATCCTGAAGATGGAGACAGTAGGTTCCTATGAAATTCTTGTATCTACCACACTGCATTGTGTCACAACCCAGAAGACAGTATTCCTCACAGTCAGTGCCATGGTAGCCTCAAATTGCACGAGAAGAATATGGTGAGTGGAATATATTGTATGCAGAGGAAAGAAGAAATGAGTATGAGGTATTGATTGAAAATCACAAGGAAACTTATCGCTCAAGAAATGGAGGCATAGATAGGAGTATATGAAAATGGATTTTAAGAAGCGAGTTTGTGAACTATGTCAGGATAGAATTCAGTGGCAGCCTTTGTGGTTGTTGTGATGAATCGGCATGTCACATGGGAGCAAGAATTTTCTTGGCTAGCTGAATGAATATGAACTGTCGAGGGAGGGCCCCATGCTATGGAGACAGATTAATTTAGGGATAAAAAGCAGTATAAATGATGTTATATTTTAGCGTCCTGTTGCACTGATTTAAGTCCATGACTTATTATATCCGTCTTCCAGTGCACACATTTATTTATCCCCTCTCTTCACTCTCACTACATGCTTCGGCACCAGTGTGCCATCTTCAGGTGCTGATCCAATCCACGACAAACTAATTCATTGCATGCCTTATCTTTACATACTAAAATAACTAAAATATATATTTATCATATATACTGACAAATGTCAAGTGTTAAAATACTAAAACTGTACAGCATATTTCTTTCCTACGTCGTGTTTCATTACGCGAGTCACGTCTATCATCCTCTGTTGGAGCACTCTTTCACTATCGTGTATTGTGCTCTGTGTTGCGTCTCGCACACGCAGTCACAGGAGCGAGACGCAACACAGAGCACAATACACGATAGTGAAAGAGTGCTCCAACAGAGGATGATAGACGTGACTCGCGTAATGAAACACGACGTAGGAAAGAAATATGCTGTACAGTTTAGTATTTTAACACTTGACATTTGTCAGTATATATGATAAATATATATTTTAGTTATTTTAGTATGTAAAGATAAGGCATGCAATGAATTAGTTTGTCGTGGATTGGATCAGCACCTGAAGATGGCACACTGGTGCCGAAGCATGTAGTGAGAGTGAAGAGAGGGGATAAATAAATGTGTGCACTGGAAGACGGATATAATAAGTCATGGACAGTATAAATGTGTTCAGGTAATGGATGTAATCATTATGTTACAGGTGAAATGCAGGGTCGTGTGTCTTCACTGGCAGAGCAGGAGCGAGTGTCTAGGGAACAGTGCATAAGGTTACGCTCCACTGTGTCTGCCTTGGAGTCACGGCTAGCAGCAGCAACAAAAGAGACTGCTCAGTATAAGACAAACCTAGAGCTTCAGCAAGTACAGTGCAACCAACTGAAACAAGCTAAGGAAAAGTATGTTCAGGTTATAAAATATATCCATGACAGGGCAAAAGTAAATAAAGCTGATGGGTGGAATTTGGTCTGAATTTAAATAAACAGCAGAAAACATTTTACCGAGAACAGAGAATTAAATGCTGTGGTGGTACAAATGTGTAGAAAGAATAGGAGAATTCAGATGAGAAAATAACTAATTGTCAATTAATAATCCGTCGAGTGTAATAATGTTCTTAGGTCGCTTATCTATTTCACTCGCCCTATATGTTTCGGTTCAAAAGAACCATCACAAACCGAAACATGTAAGGCGAGTGATATAGATAAGTGACCTAAGAACGTTGTTACACTCGACGGATTATTCATTGACAATTTGTGATTGATAGTGTAACGGACCAAATATGAAACAATTCAAATGAGAAAATAACTGGTTACCTGAATACAAACTGGAAGAAATAAAAAGGATTGGACTAAAAGCTTGTCATGTGTAATTCATAAAATTAGGGAAGCTAAGTAATCCTTGAGCCGGTGACGGAAGCCAAGCGGTCTAAGGCGTGTACTGTCTTCGCTTGCTTGGAAACCGGGATCGTGGGTTCGAATCCCACTCAGGGCATGGATGTTTAGTTTGTGTATGTGCGTTTTTCTGTGTTTTTGTACAGGTAGAGGCCTTGCGACGAGCTGATCACCCGCCCAAGGAGTCCTACTGAATGTGTAAGATCTAGAAAAACCGAAGTGAACGGAGAAGTTCATGGAGGTAGGCCTAGGCCCACTGGGGCTGTAGTGCCAAGGAAAAAATAAAAGTAATCCTTGAAGGGAGAGAACTGGAACAAGTGACTCTTATGGATTACAAGACTAGATAACTTATGAAAGTTTGAAAACTCTAAGCAACAGATATAATCCTGGATCATAGGAGGGTTATGTATTACTCGTATGATATACAAGCATGTAGTATAATGAATGGTACATTAAATACCAAATTCTGGCCAACAAATAACAGAAGAGAAATTGGTACTGCACAGTATTACATTGAAAGAAACGCTTAGTATAGGAATAACCCATTCTAATGCTTTACATTCTAGTTATTATTTAACTAATCTTTCTTTTGTTAGTTTATTTCCATAGTACCATATAATGTCTACTGCTGAAAAGTCACAAATGGTTTTAACTGTTGAGAGATGGCAGGGGACATTTCTTTCGCTGATCTCAGGCACCAAATGTGGACTAGAATGTCGAATATTCTAAGTGAGAAAACTAGTGTGTAGCATGGAAAGTGTTAAATATGAGAGAAACCAAAAGATTAGAATCTGCAATTATGAAAATAACAATACTGTTCTCTGTATAAATATCTTACTGCATGTACAGAGAACTGTCGGGGGCGGAGTCCTTGAGGCAGTGTATGACTGAGCAACTTGCTGAGCTGCGGGGTGAAGTAACAGCCCTGGAACACCAGCTGGCAGTGGAACGTGCAGCCACTGAGGCTGAGAAACGCAGGACAGCGCTTTTGCAGGTTGATCACATGTAATATTACAAGGATTGATTAGCTGGACAATTAGCTATGATGAGGAAGCCAGTAAATGCATATGGAATTTTGGTTGTAAAACTCTTGGAATTTATGAGAAGGAGATGGGAGGGTAACATTACGATGAATATTAGAGAAACAGATTGTGAAGATGGAAAGTAGATTGAACTGGCTCAGGATCATGTCCAATGATTGGCTGTGGCAGTAGCCCTGTTGAATCTTCTTGAGCTCTGCTACCAGAGCATTAGTTAATCTGGTTAGGAACTGCAAATGGATGTGAACTGTATGATCGAGATTTGAGGTTCTCATGGCAGTAGATATTAAGGTTACAGCCTTTCGGGATGTGACACAGTGTAGTTTTGGAGAAGTAGATATATGTATGTAGAATATAATAGAAGATAAATTACATAAAAAGGTTCTCCCTTTTGTGTAAGCACCATGCACCATAGCAGCTTCTAGGTAAAGTTCCCATTCATCCTTAATCGTAGCACTTGATGGAGGTCACTGATCAGCCTCATGCTCCTGGTACCCTTTGGATAGGAGGCCACATATATATTTTTTATGATTGTATTGGTATGTACCTGGAAGTTAGAATATTTTTTAAGATAGAAGTCCAGAAAAGGCTTATTCCTAGAATACAGCACACTAGAAAGATGGCAACTAATGTGCATAGGGCAGAAAGGATGATGAAAAGGGCTAGGAACATACTCTTATGAGAACCAGACAGATCTTTTTGTACAGCAGTTGGAAGCCCTGATGAGTTAAATTGTTGGGTCATGTGACTGCATGATTCAGCTATTTTGTGTCAGAGTTATGTGACTATATACACTATGTTTTGCTTACAGAAAGTGAGTAGAAAAGAAAAATGATACCATTAAGGTGGAGGAAATGACAATAAAAAGGAACATACATGGTGCAATCCAAAAGTTCCCAAAATATATTAATAAAAAGTATTACATCTTACCTAGATCTTCTTCTGCACCATCACCTTCAAAGTAGTCCCCTTGGGAGCGCATACACCGATCCCAGCGTTTCTGCCACTTTTGAAATGCATCCTGGAAGTCTTTCTTTGTTAGGGTGTTTAGTACTGTCCGCGTTTCCACTTGAATTTCCTCAATTGTATCAAATCTTCACCCCTTCAACTTGATTTTCATCTTGGGGAAGAGAAAGAAGTTGCATGGAGCTAAGTCTGGCGAGTACGGTGGGTGGGGAACAACTGCCATCTTGTTTTTAGCCAAAAATTCCTGCACAATGTAAGCCGTATGCGGTCGTGCATTGTCATGGTGGAGTACCCAGTCGTCCGTGCGCCACTTCTCTGGACGTTTTCTCCTCATGTTCTCCCTCAAACGCCTTAGAACATTGCGATAGAACTCTTTATTGACTGACCAGGAGGGACAAACTCCTTATGAACAATCCCGTCAGTATCAAAAAAAAAAAAAACAGATCAACATGGGCCTAATGTTGCTGTTGACTTGTCGAGCTTTTTTTGGCCAAGGTGAAGAAGGGCTCTTCCATTGCGACGATTGCTGCTTGCTTTCAGGGTCGTAGCCATAAACCCAACTTTCGTCACCAGTGACAACCTTCGAAAGAAAGTTTGGATCCTCTTGAAGCTGTTGCTGAAGTTCCCTGCAGACTTCCAAGCGATGCTGCTTCTGTTCATTTTGCAGCAGTTGTGGCACATGCTTCACCACAATCCTCCTCATGTTCAGTTCCTCTGACAAAATTCATTGACATGTACCATAACTTAGTCCCAAGGTGTTACAGAGGTCTTGGATGGTCAGTCTACGATCTTGCAGAATCAGATCCCTAACTTTAGCAACATTTTCTGGTGTTTTGCCCATTGATGGCCGTCCCGAACGATCGCCATCATCAGTCAATGTTCGGCCATTTTTAAAACGCTTATACCAGTTGTAAGTTTGTGTCTGGCCTAAACTATTTTCACCAAAAGCTTGCTTCAAGATTTGGTGCGTTTCTGCAGCGGTTTTCCCAAGTTTGAAACAAAACTTTATACACACACGCTGCTCTCTCAGGTCAGCCATCACAAATCCGCAAACTCACGGAAACACAACAATGGAAATAAGTTCACCAACAATAAACCCAACCACTCAACTAGACACCGCTTGCCACACTGATTCAAGAAGGATGTGTGAGGAGACACCTAGCGGTATTTCGATGTACTCATAACCATTCTCGCGCAAAATTCAAATTTCGGAAACTTTTACCTCTATATTTATATTGTTCAGAAAACAGTGACCCCTGATATCCTGAATTACCTGCAGATTAAATAAATAGAAGTTTATTTTTCAAAGTGAAGGATTGTTAACCAAATGTCTGAGCTAGGTGAACACTGCTTTTGTATGTTTGTGACCAGTTTTTATCTTATTATTATTATTATTATTATTATTATTATTATTAGAGGGGGTGGGTTTCCTCATGCACTTAGACCAGTTATTGGTCCATTGTGTGTTCCCCTTTAATTTCTACTGTCGCCATACCCTACCAGTACTGGTGCATGCTATCAGCCCCGTTCAGCCAACGAGGTCGGCCCTTGGTACCTGATATTTCCCCCATCTACCAGAGGCATTGGAAACTACTTGGGCGGGAAATGTGTTGCCTAATTTTGCTCAGAGGTCTCCTAGAGACATGAGGATCTTTTACGTGCTGTAAATCTATGACACGGGACCCACGGCTTAAAAGTCCCTCCCAGAGGACTTGTTCCCTGAATTTTTCCGCCTTTAAAAATTCCACAACCTCCGCCATGTTTGAACCCGCGTACCTTGAGTCATGAGGTGGGAACATTACCCCTAGAGTACGGAGGCCGCTAGTTTTTATCCTTGCTATGGGTGAAAATGATAAACCAGCTAACAAACATATTAATGTGATTGCTAATTTTATATTAAACTAGAGATACAGCATGAGATTTTCATTTATTTAAAGTAATAATAGTTTACAAAACAATCTTGCATTTCCTTTGTGGTTAGGACCAGCTTAGGGAACGAGAAACTGCTACTGATCGAGATCGCCATGGTACACGTGGCTCTCCTACATCACCACACTCTTCTCCCACCCTCAGCTTTGGTCGGGTCTCGTTATCTGAGTCCGTGTCAAGCAGCGCATGGCCACAGGTAATTTTATGTAAAACTCTGAATGTAAATTACATTCTGCTGCTGCTCCTGACTTGTGGATATTAGTCAGTAGTCTTAGCCATATGGTCATTTACTCATGGTTGAGAGGCTGTGGACTTTATGAGGTTGGTATCTATGAAGTTAGTCTGCTGGTTAGGTGATGCTGTGTTTTATTGTGTAGTTTCAGGATGATGCGTTTGAGTGTGGGTCTGTGTCGGGCCGGTACAGCAATGTCTATGACAGCCTGCGAGCTGGCAATACCACGTCTCTATTGGAGGGACTTCAGTCTCAACTCAAATTGCGGGATGGTTTGTGCCTTTACAGCTTTATGCATAGTATTTACAAGATAACATATTTTATGGAAAGATTTAAATGTTGGTTTATTTCAAGCTTTTTTGAATGTTTCAACTAGTATGTTGCAGATTTTCTGTGAAGGTGATTCAACCACTGACATATTGCACATTTTATGAAAAGATTCAACATCTGCTTTGAACACACAGTATTCACACGATACACATTTTCTTGGAAAGAATCACCCATTTATTGTATACATAAAAAGCCAGTGGTTTGTGATATTAACTTGAAGCAGAGGATGCAGTGCTGCCAATGTCTGACAGATGGAGTTAATGTAGTTGATTTTTCAGGTGAAACCCATTCACTAGCAGCACCATGAAATGATTGTACGTGTTATTATGCAAGCACTGAAAAGATCACCACCCTATTCAAGCATGTATTATTGTAAAGAAAGCAGTCTTGGGATTTGGCACCGTGTATAAGTGGTGTTAACCGACGTTTCAGAGGAACGTATCGCCTCCATCTTCAGGGTAGAAGAAAATATAAGAATTCTGCAAGCGAAGAGACCGTGAGAACCAGTAAAAGCAGAATGCTTTTGTTCTTATATTTTCTTCTACCCTGAAGATGGAGGCGATACGTTCCTCCGAAACGTCGGTTAACACCACTTATACACGGTGCCAAATCCCAAAAGACTGCTTTCTTCATAGTCACCGCCGTGAAAGCCTCATATCTTACATGTGTTATTGTAGCTTCAGTTTTGCATTTAATTATGTTCAGATTGTACATAATAAAGTTTAAATAACAAAAGAAAATGTCCAATTGAATTTTTGATGGATATTGTACTGGTTTATACATAACATTTAAATGATAACACAACATGAATGGTTTATATATAATTTTTAAAATATACAGTTGCTGATGGAAACCAGAATAGCATAGTCAGTATAGTGACTGGCTACGGGCTGGATAACTGAGGGGTTGGAGTGTGAGTCCTGGTGGGGTCAAGAATTTTCTCTTCTCCACGTCATCCAGACTGACTCTGGGTTCTACCCAACCTCCTATTCAATGGGTACCAGGGGCTCTTTCCCTGGGGATAAAATGACAGGGGCATGAAACTGATCACTCACCTCCAGCTAGTGCTGAGGTCAAGAAAATAAGGATCTATACAGCCACTCCCCCATACACCTTCGTGGTGTAGTGTTTAATTAGTTAAGCACAGAGACAACTTTACCTTTTACAAATGTTGTATTCTTACGTGTACCAGGAGAAGTGCAGCAGTTACAATGGGAAATGTCGAGGAGAGATGCAGAAAGAAGTGCTCTGACGAGTGAACTGTCTCAGCTGACCGCACGAGTTGAGGAACAGGAGGCTTCCCTGAAGGAGGCAGAAATGATGCGCCGTCAGTTCCAGGACCTTCAGCATAAGTATGATGCTTTGCTGCAGATGTATGGTGAGAAGGTGGAAGAAACACAGGAGCTGCTGCTCGACCTGGAGGATGTCAAGGAAATGTATAAGACTCAGGTAAGATAGCACCAATATTGTTAGATTCACAGTGAACAGAAGTGGAGAGGTGCAGCCATACTTCGGTGGAGGCAACATATTATCCCGAAGTCTTGGCCTTGATATTTGTTTTGTGCAAATATGAATTGAAAACCTAATTACACTACAGATATGTCATTCTGAACATAATCAGAAATGATCTGTTCTTTTATTTTATTAAATGTTCAACCTGACGACAAGCAAAGAAAGGCCACTCACTTTTTTTTTTTTGGAAACTTTCAGTTTCCTAAGCATTGTATATATCAGTGGCCCAGAATGTAAGCATTGTATATATCAGTGGCCCAGAATGTGCAGTGGGTTTGGTCATATCATGAAATAATGATTGTAAGGAATGTATGGGATAGTTGCATAAACCTTCCTTCCCTTCAACACTGCAGCTGCAACCACTGCCATGTCATAATTCTCCTCACATGCCACTCAGAGACCATGACTGCAAACATGTCATGTGCTTTGGATTTTGAATGAAGTCCAGAGTGTTCTTATTAATTTACTGTTTCTACTGGGTAATTCTTGTTAGTAAAAGTATGTTTACATCCCCAGGCAAACAATGGGAAGCAGTATTTTTAACAGAGAAAAGCTGCTTCACATCAATCTGTTTCCCAGCAATTCAGTAGTGAACATCCACAAGGACCACCAATAAATTTTTCCTTAAAATCCCCATGGAGCACAAATTGGGGGCACACAGTAGCATGGTTGAGGCACTGTGCTGCAAGCTGGAAGGTCACAGGTTCAATTCCCAATGAGGTCATTGGATTTTTTTCCAATTTACCTAATCTTCTCAGCTGCACTATGGCGCTAGGGCCTACCCAGCCTTCAACAGAAATGAGTACCAGGAATCTTGCTGGGGGTAAAGGGTAGCCTGCATGTAAGGCTGACAACCTCACCTCCATCTGTGAGCCATTTGTCTAGAAATGTGGAAGTCTCGGTGTCTCGCAACCCTATGGGCCTTCACACTGTTACAGGGATAGCTTTACCTTTTTTTTTTATAGGGCAAAATTTTGGGTCATTGTGTACTGAGTTAAGGAGGAACTGTGTTTCAGATCGATCAGCTGCTGAAGAAGGAGCCTGCAGTGTGAACTCCGCATGTATTTTGACATAGGAAAGGAACTAGTAGATTTGTGTCCAGCAAATTAGAAGGTTAGACAGACAACCACTGTGTTTATTCCTGGTTATGGATTTGCTCACTAAGGTATTACCATAGTTAAAATAAAATATGTTTTATCTATAAGAATTGCCATCAGCAGAGTTTTATTGGCCTAGTGATAAGATCTAATAATAGTAAAACGTTTGGCTTGCTTTTTGTTTCATTATTTATGTTCTGTTCTAAGATTGTACATGTTGCACAGGAGAGAACAAGGGTAGGCTTATCGTGATTGAACGTGTGACAAGAAAGGAAAAGAGCATCTGTATTTAACTGTCTTTTTTGATGGAGTATCATCTGTGAGATACAAAATATGCATTGCAGTTTCATGAAAAAATGAACAGTAATTTCTTCTATTACTTCCACGTTTGCACTTTCAACTCATTTTTTTGAGATATAATTTTATTTTACATAAATTCTGCTGTTGTGAAAAAATTTACCATGCCAACATTTTCAGTGCCACACATTTTGAAATTGTTCCTATTTATAATGCTAAAAATCAATGCTATAAGTTCACATAAAAACGAACTGCCCAATGAAAGAGTTAAATTTTTACATAGTCACGTATAAGGTGTTTTCTCAAATGCTTTGCAGCTGCAGGTGAATTTCGTGTGGTAAAGAGGTCAGACTTTGTCAACCCTTCCTAACAGTTAAGATTCTTTTGTATTTCTTTGCTTTACCACCAGCTCTCCACACTCTGTTAAAAATTTAGAATTGTCATACTTTTTAACCAAAACCATTTCTCCAAATTTTAAAACACCGGTGGTCTGACCACATTTACACAATGGACACGCAGAAATAATATTGTGAATGCAGTTTGAAATGTAAGATTTCCTTTGGCCCTCATATACGTGACCGACAAACACTGTTTGCCTTTCTCAGTCCCTACTTGAACAACATTATCGTAACTAAGAATATAATGATGAGTTACTAAAGGAGACTCCTGCTGCACTGCCACAAAGTCATTAACTTTCTTCTATATGTCCTAATTCCCTAGCCTACTTCAGACAAGTTAATAAGTGAAAGCTGCAATATGCGGCACTGGATCACCCAGAAAGTCCATGTTTCTCTGAGTAAATTCACACAAATAGACAATTAAGAGAGTGATATGAAAATGTGTACATAATTCAGTGTTCTGAATATGATGATTAAAAGACTGAAATTTAGGTGTCTTGTTTGTTTCTTTTAGATTATATGTACACAATATTATGTAACTCGTGGTGAAAAGGGAATGGAAAGTGCCGCAGGGAACACAGGACAGGATAATTAGTGACAAATTAAATGATTATGTCTGTCCATGAGGTTGCTAGGTACACTGAGATATGCATTAGGTATAATGTTCTAATATCTGGAAAATTATGATATCCAGCAATCGTTTGGTCCTGCAGGCACTAGCTGTCGCAACTTGTACTGTACATTGTTATCACCTTGGGTAATTAGTTTGTTCAGATAGTAAGAAACATTAGCCCTTAACTAGTCAATCTGATTTGAATGATTTTAATGAGTCACTCTGTGGTATGCCCTACAGGTTTTTCAGGTTCTGGTCTTCTAACTTGTCACACCACTTAGCACTGTATGTAGATACGAACATTTGAGAGGAACTTGCCACCTCAGTTTTCAGGGTGAGTCGTGTTTTCCTCTGAAATGTGTTGGTATTTGTATACAGTACTATACAGTGTCACAAAACAGAAGACTAGAGTCATTGCCATGAAAATGTGAAAACATAAGTTCACATGTAAAGTCAATGACATATTCAGTAATTGTGAAAGTATAAATATGTAAAAGTTTTGAGGTTTTTGTGGTGATAAGTGTTCAGATTTTGTCCTTCTGGATTGACACCATGTAATCTTATAGGTGGATACAGATGTTTTGGAGGAACATGGTGATTTCATCTTCAGGGTTGAAGATGGAAGCAGGATATTCATCTGAAACATCAGTACCTGCTTATAGGTCTACATGGTGTTACCACCCAGAAGACCACAGTCAGGGCATAAAATTGTTCTTAAAGTGAAACAATCCGATTTACTCATACAGGACAGCTAGTTGTACAGTACCAGACAGTAGTGACCATACCAGGTTTTAGCACAGTGTAAACATTTTACAGTACAGTTTTTCTGTAGCCATTTCTTGAAATAAGTATATAAGTTTATTAGACACATTACAAAATATTTGAAGCTTAGAACTGTTTTTAGCATACCTGTAGATATTCTGACTGCACCTCTATCAGTTGTTCAAAACTTACATGATAAAACTTCATACTCTGCTTGCTGTATGTTCCTGTATTTTTTATTTTTCTTCTCAGCCTCTTCCAGCCAATAAGATTATCCCATGTTTGGTATTGCGAAGTACAAGTATTGTCATTAGGCATATGTATTTTGTACTCTTAAATATTCTGGTTGCGACGAGCTGATACCTGCCCAAGGAGTCCTACTGAATGTGTAAGGTCTAGAAAAACCGAAGTATTTGGAGAAGTTCATGGAGGTAGGCCAAGGCCCACTGGGGCTGTAGTGCCAAGGGGGAAATTCTGGAATTGTATAGCTTAAACCTGTGACCTTTAACCAAGCAGAAAAATGTGTTTAAATTGCCAAGAGAGCAGAGTGGCTACACTAACTGAACTTAAAATTTAATGCCTTCTAGAAATTATATAAACCATACATTAGAGAGCAAAATAAAGTAATTTTATTTTGTATTTAGTGTGAGACAAGGAGGTCAGGTATGTCTGAAGAAAATGACTGACTGTGATCATCTTGTAATACTGTATATAGCCTGGTAGAAGTTTACCAGTATTTTTGAGGAATGTGCTACCTCCATCTTCACAGTCCTCTGAAATGACAAGCTTCTACTGGCATCATATTCCAGGAAATAGCATGCTTTAGTCATTGCTCAGATTTAACATAGATGGCTACAGTTTGATACTCAGCAGGAATGCTGGAATTTTCATCTTCACAGGTGTTATGTCTAGAATGGTTTTGGGGTTGAGCCTCCTCTCTGTGGATCCATCCCAGGGGCAGTTTTTATCTGGGGTTAAGTGAACAAAGCATTGGCATCTGTTAGATATAAGGCTGGACCCCAGAGCTAGTCTGATATGGCCCTACAAGATTTCTTTGTTGTCATCAAACATCTTGCTTTTCTTTCTTCACTTTATTTTGGTATAGGCTCAACTGATGTTATGATAAATGGATTTTTACCTCAACATCATAAGAGTTTTACACATTTATGCAGTACCAACTGCACACCTGCTGGAAGCAGAATACATCTGGCCCATGAATCAAAACTCAGCAAGCCAAATCCATTTCAGGTTGACATTTAATGAACATATTGCTTGAGTCTTACATTATTTAATAACATCATTTCAACTGCATAATGTTAAATGGCATGGGAAGATGATCATGCTGGAAGAAGTCATGGGCTATGTGAAGATATTAGTGCAATGTCCACTGGGGAAGACTCTTAGGAAAATTATGAAAATCCATAGCCATGATAGCCAGTAATGTTGCCAGCATTTTAATTTGGTAGCTCCTGAATACCAGATACAAACTGAAATTTAGTTGCAACATTCCGACCGTATCTTCAGGACAATAACTTTGTCCAAAATGGCAGAAAGTTGTACCATCAGAACTTCATTCATGCATTATAAGCCAAAATACTCTTTAATTTGAAATCTGGTAATTAGGCAGATTATGTGGATCATATCCATTGTAAAGGCTTTCTCCTTATATTCATGTTTGCCTGTTGCCATGTTTGTTATGTGAACTGTAGCATCATGGTCATTTTCCCTATAATGTCAACCTGAAACTGTTTAAAGTTTAATGCTTTGTCTGGGGGTACAGCCAACTGGCAACAGGAAGCAGTGACCTTAGTATTTAAAACATTACTGTGGTACCCATCAGTTGTGTTCATACTGAAGATACTAGGTTCCTGTACTTGCTCTTTAAGTCCACTTTCATTATTTTATGAGAAAACTACAGTATTACCGATTGAGAATTCAACGGGAAGTCTTATAATTTGTTATATAAGCTTTAATACTAGTAATTTCCCATGCTTTCTCTGGTAATCCCTTTCAGTCCTAACCCTTCATTGAATGATGCACCAGGTCCAATATGTAACGCCACTTCCCACGAAAAGCATGCACAGATAGTCAATCCTAAACTGCTTCGTTTATATAGTATACTACCCTTCACACATCCATGTAAAAACATTGTCAGTTTTGTCAGTATGCAACACACTGAAACAGACTGCTCACTAGTTTATGACTTACTGTATTGACTGCATGGACTGTGTTACTGCTCGACTGTTCATTGCTTGATGACCTGAAATTGCAGTGACAATGATAAAACTCACACATTACTACTTTATATGCAGAGGAAAGCGGCCTCCGTAGTCTAGGGGTAACGTTCCCACCTCATGACTCAAGGTACGCGGGTTCAATCCCAGCGGAGGTCGTGGAATTTTTAAGGGCGGAAAAATTCAGGGAATAAGTCCTCCGGGAGGGACTTTAAGCCGTGTGTCCCGTGTCTTAGATTTACGGCACGTAAAAGAACCTCATGTCTCTAGGAGACCTCTGAGCTAAATTACAGGCACTTTCCTGCCCAAGTAGTCTCCAATGCCTCTGGTGGATGGGGGAAGCATCAAGGTACCGAGGGCCGACCTCGTTGGCTCAACGGGGGCTGATGGCACACACCGTTACTGGTAGGGTATGGTGACAGTAGAAATTAAAGGGGGGTGCACAATGGACCAATAACTGGTCTAAGTGCATGGGGAAACCCACCCCCTCTCATAATACGAATACGAATATATGCAGAGAAATACAGGCTTATCAAATTATTATGTCCATATGAATCTGTCACTTCCACCCCAAGAAATTCAAAGCAAACAGATGGATTTTCACCAAACTTGGCATGAATTTCATGCCACTAAACACTGCCCATTTTGTGTTTCCTGCCATCAGTAATACTAACATGGAGGCCAAGCAACCTTCTGAGATGGTAGCAACTCCACTTAATGAAGGTTCTTCAAATTCTTTGTGGTAAAAAGAGAGACTTTGGTTGTATTCTTATTGTAGAATGTAAAACAAAACAGCAGCTATTATTAATTCATATTTATGTATCAAGTTGATGGTGATTACTAGTGAACAACTTGAGTCATATTGATAGCTTTCAGTATTCAGGAACAAACTTTATTTCACATCTGACTGTGTTTATTACATTACTGTGTCCAAAATCATCTTGAGTTTTTATTTGTACTGTTTTCTTTTTTTTTTGCAGCTGTGTCCCATTAATTCACCAAGTAGCTCAGCTTTTCAGTATTCAATAAGGGCTCATTTTATTCAGCCTGTTACATCACCATTTGAACAGTTTGGCTTCCCATAATTACTGTATTGAAGGGTGAACATAAAACCCATCAGAATGTGCCATCATAGGAAGATGACACTTTTCTGATGGAATTTGTAATGTGGGCCTTATGTCTTTGTGCAAACACGTGCATCTCCCTATACAAATCCATTTGTCTTTAAACAAATGTTTGTTACTCTCTTGTTGTCTACATTCTGTAGTCACTCAGTTGAATTTCTTGTTTGTGTTGGGAACAGGATTTGTCAGTTAGTTCTTATTCTTTCTCATACAATAGAGGGTCATTGAAAAAGAATAATGGGATTTAAAAAAAAAACTATCACTCAAAAACTGTTAAACATATTGTCATGACTCAAGCATTAAATTGCTAAGAAATGTCTGAAGGTTTTTTTTACCTTGGTATGTATCGATGTGCGCTCCATTTATTGCTCAGCAGAGATTGAGATGGTATCTGGTCTTGTGCAAAGTCTGCTGAATCATACCTGGAGTTAACCTTTGTGGTCGCTGCTGTGATTCTATCACGTAGCTGCCAGAGACCCTGTATCTTTTCACCTTGCAGTGTTCTTGACGTGCAATGACAGACTCCCCTCCCCCAAAAAAATTGTCAGGCAATTCTGATATTGATCCATAACAAAGCCTACTTTACCTAGAGCCATAAGTGGACTTTTCTGCACATCCCATAAACCATTTCTCAGATTTCACTGAAATTCAAGATGACAGACTTTCACTAATTTGCATTTCATTATTCCTATTTTTAAATAAAACCTCAGGAATGCTGTTGATGGGTATACCCTTCCCGGTCTTATTTTAACACAGCC